AGGGAAAGACGAGAGGAGGCCGAACTTAGCGTGCAAGGGGATGAAATTAGATGCGGGAGAGCACGGGGAAGGGAATACTGTTCTTTTTATTTATTTATTTATTATATATCTCCCCGACGGCCCGACCCCGATACTGAAATGGTATTTCTCCACGTGGACCGTGCAGAACCACTGAAGGGATTCGGCAGTGTTTCAGTGGACCCCCGGGTTGTAGCCAGCCAGCAGGCTCGGAACTGTGAGGGCACGTGTTGTTTGGTTTATGAGTGTCCATGACCATATATATATATATATATATATATATATGTATGTATGTATTGACAGCCACCATTAATTGACACGTTGCTTTCATAGCGGCAACATCACTCACTAGGATGCTTTGCTCCTCCTCGAGCACCTGCCGTCATATGTGCTAAGGGCACGTCGGAGATGACTCAATCCACCGAGTAGAGTGGAGTAGAGTAGAGTTGGGGGAGGATCTATCAGCTTTAGCTCACCCAATCAGCAGCAGCAGGATCTGATCTTCGACTGCCACCACTCATCTGCTTATTTAAGTAATGACAGCAAAGCAACAAGTGGCCGGCCCTGGTCTAGCGAGAATAAAGAGCCCATTGTCCTTCGAAAACCCCTAATTCCTGTTCCTGCTCCTTTCCCTTCCTTGTACTGCTGTCTCAAGGTTGCATGTGATCATGGTGGTGGTGCGGTTAAAAAAATTATTTTTATTTTATTTTTACTTTTAAGATCATTATATCAACATTATAAAAAAATACTAAATAATATCAATTTAATATTTCTCAAGGTTAAAAAACACTTTTATAAAATGTCTAATATTATATTATCAATATTGCTCTCCAAAATATTTTTTATTTTTAAGAATTTATTTTTAATATCAGTGTAGCGAAATAACTTAAAAATAAAAAAATAAATTTAAAAAATAAATTAAAATCTTAGAAATGCTTAACTTCATTGCAAAATCAAACAAACCAAAAGACGAAACAAAAACAGTGTAAAACACCATCTCAATAAGGGGAAAATTGGAAGGGCCTTGCAGCCGCCATTGTACATTTCCTCTCACCACATTGCAATTCTGCGGACATCCACATTCTCAGTTATAGTTGTTTGTTATTATTATAATACTTTGTTTTTTAAAATATTTTTTATTTTAAAATATTTTAAAATAATATTTTTGTAATATTAATATATTAAAATAATTTTTTTTAAAAATAGAAATTTTAAGAAACATGGGTAAGCCGCAAAAACAAACTGTCTTTTGGCTGTGATGACCCATAGTTTATTGGTATTCTGAAATTCTCGTGTCATAACATGTGGTGAAAATTTTTTATATTTTGAAAGTGTGTTTTTAAAATGAAATTTTTGTTTTTTACTTTAAATTAATTTTTTATTGGTAATTATATATTATCTTGATGTGTTGATATTAAAAATATATGTTAAAAATAAAAAATTATTGTTTTAAAAAAATTTCAAATAAAAAATAATTTTAAAAATAATTGCTACCATATTAAATTCCAAGCAAATGAGAATATTATGAAACATCTTTCTCAATGAATGAATTAAAAAAAATAATAACAGAACAACTAAAAACACATAATAGTGATATTATAGGGACATCCTGAGTTAAGTGGCACTAAAAGCGATATATAATAAAGGGAAATGTTGTGCCCAGCACTAGTGTTGCAGAGATACGAGAAGTAGAAGATAATGTAAAATAATACCGAGTGCCCACCCTCCCTTCCTTTACAGAATGCTTTCTCGGCTGTGGAGCCTTATAAATTGCTCGCTCTCGTAGCTCATAGCTCCTCCTCCTGGCAGGACCTTTCCCAGCAGCGATCTGCACATGACCACTCCTCCCATGTAGTGGCGTGGCGGGACCACTATCTACTACTGTTATTTTCTTATATTACTTCACTGTGTATGTGGGTGGGGCTACCAGCAGCACAACCACAGTTCCACGGCCCTATAGACAAAAACAACCGACTTCCTCCTCTATTTTATGCTTCCTTTTCTTGTCATGTAACACCGCTGGACCAATTAGCATATTTCAAACACTACTTTAGTAAACATGGTAGATTCAATTAAATTTCTCTCCCATTAAAAAATAAATAAAAACACTGGTGTAGTCAGACAGGAAAAAAGGAGAGGTGAAGGTTAAAATAAAGCAAATATATATATATATATATATATATATAACAGTTAAAAGAGGACATGTCATCCATTAATGATCATGTAGGCGGTCTAGCAAATATAAAATAAGTGGGATGCAGTCAGATTAAAAATAAAAATAAAAATTGATTATATCAAACCATGAAAGTAGCATTAGAATGCCATGCTTTCGAACCAACCATTAAGCTCAACTCTAATGGAGGAGGAGATCTGATGATTGTAGTTAATTAGTTGAATTCTAAATGACCCTCCGATTAGACATTAAAAATGTTATTTAAGCTAGTTTTGTTATTACTTCTTTTAGATTTTATCTTTCTGGCGAGGGATTATGATTATTTTTTCCTTGTAAATCTATTAAAAGAACATATCTCATATATAATACTTTATATTTTCATGAATAAAATTTGGGATTGTTGTGGAATAACCCTATGTATCTTAGTCAAACTCTCCCTTTCTTGCCTCTTGTCTCTTTGTTTGTGCTCCCATCCCATGTTAACCATCAAAAAAAATATCTATCATAAACTTTATACCATCAAGTGCATTTGGCTGCTTTTATATATATATATATATACATAGCAAGCACACATTTGTCTTTGTTGAAGCATGCTGGGAGAAAGGATCCACCTTATTAAATTATAATACATAGCCCGGCCATGCCGTAATATTAATTTATTTCAGAAGCTAATAAGATTGATTAATTAAGCACTGCGCTAGCTGACGAACTAAAAATCTGGCTGGGATATCTGCTAAGCGCTCAGCTAGCACAAGTGCATCATTAGTAAACAAGAAGAAGATCGATCATGCACGCGCGCGCGCGGAACATGATATGTCACCTGGATTTTATATATACATATATCAGCAACAAAAAAAACAATTAGAGGTTTATATATAGACGAGATGTCTGGGCCAAAAAGGATCTGTTAAAAACGATGGGTCTTGGCAGGTTTGCCTGCCCACACAGCTGCCTGCTGTTTCTCTCTATGTGATGAATCTTGAAGGTGACAGATACTTACATTAGAGGATCAATGACACCTGCCTAGCTAAGGTAGGTAACCAAGCCCTCAGAGATGCACGTACACAAACTGTTCGAGATCACATATAAAGAGAAAGCTAAAGGGAATTAAGAGACAGTCTTGATGGAGTAGAGGATGAGACATGGTTAATTAAGGATATTGTGTCTGTCTGTGCAAGTTGATCACATGATGATGCCTTAATTTGCATGGTCAGAAACAGCATCAAATCAATCAGAAACCATATTCGATTCTACATTTTCTTTTGTATAAAGCAATCAATGCAAGTTTTCGTGTGTGTGCGCGCGCGCGCGTGCCCCCACAAATGCATTCTTGCATGTCTCCGCATCACCCATGATTTACAACGATCAATTATGGTCCCCAACATCATGGTCCTAGCTAGCTGCATATATGGCTAGCTAATTTATTTGTCAGTGATCTACTTTTCACACCAGGTGTCCACTTCGTCTTTTCACGTTAAAATATATCCCTGTATTCCTTGTGGGAACTGGGGATTCTACATGGAAATGACCTAATTTCACCTGAAAGAGACTCATGATGATGGATCCTTGAACTAAAGATAGATAGATAGAGACTCTATAGCTTCTCTTTAGAGAGACAAATTCATGCATTCATGAAGCCCTGATCGATGAATATCTTACTCTCTGCACGATACTATAAATTAATTAAAGTGGGATGTTTAGGATGGCTGAAAAAGAAACAGAAAAAAAAAGAGGATTGCCATCCACCTTAATCGCAAGTTTCTTCAAGATTTTGTCATAATACTACTATTTTCAAGGGTGAGATGATCAGGCATGCAAACAGCAAGACTACCAGCAAGGCTTTTTGCCATCCCGCTCTCTCATTCTTCCGGGAGTGAAAAACTGTGTATCATTTTCATCTTTAATTATGCTAGCTGCTTCCAGTATATATTCTTCTATATCACATAACTGGGTGTCTACAACATCAATCACCACAGGTCATCATGCTTAATATTATCCTCAATTATATCCAGAATGACATTCCCCAGGAGAACGCTTAGTATTGAAGTTTCCAGAACATGATAAAGCATAAAAAATTGCAATCCCTTATGAGTGAACCAATTAAGGCCCACTTAGCTCTTACATCTACTTGCTTAGACTACTAATGTATCCCAACAACTTAAAAATAAATTGTTAAAGCTAAGTAAATACCAAAAAAAAAATTTCTTGGTAAAAACATGCAAATATATAAATTTAATTTTTTTATTTATATTTTATTTTATTTCATAGATTAATTCTGGTTGCTGATTTTTATTTTTATAAACACATCAAGTACAATCTTTAGATTTACCGGTGAAATTTTTTGTCAGTATTTGTACTATCATTTCGTTAGTAATTGATTTATCAACAAAATCACCAACGGAGCATTTTGTAGGTAATTTTTTTTCCGTCAATAAGTTCGTTGGTAATAAAAAATATTATTACCAATGAATTTACAGACGAAAAAGGCAAAAAAAAATTATCCATTTTATTTGGTCAGTATTTCCCTTGAAAAGTATATAATTTCATTGGTAATTATTTAAAAATATTTTAAAAAATTCATTTTACAAAACTATAAAATAATTAAATTAATATAAATCAACACTTTATAATATTCAAAACGCTTGGAAAAAAGAAGAAGAAAATCATATAAAAAAATCCTAGAATAATATTCATACAATTATTAAGAAAAAAATAATTAAAAATAAAATAAAAAACAAATATAGTGAAAAACATGAAAAAACTAAAAACAATATTACCTTAATATGGTTGCAAGGGAAGCTAAGAAAAGAAAAATAAATCATAAAGTATATTAATTAAAAAAATTAAGAAGAAAGAAGAAGAAGAATGCATACTTGAGCATGAAAGAGAAGAAAAGAAGTTGAGGAGAGAATAGAAAAAAAATGGATATTAATGTTTTTTACATATGGAAAAGAAGAAGAAGAAAAAAAAAGGAGCCTCGTTTGTTGTGAAATTAAGTATGAATATTTTTAATAGGGTGTGTTACCGACGGATAATTACATATGAATATTTGTAATCATTTTGTTGGTGCTTCTATCTGTAATATTTAATTTAATTTCTTAATTTAATAAATTTTTTTCAAAAACCACTAAATATCACTAATGACCTTTTAATTTGTCGATGATTCCATTTACAATATTTAATTTAAAATTTTAATTTAATCAATTTTTTTCAAAAACCACTAACTAACATTAATGATTTTCTAATTCGTCGGTGGTTTTGTCTGTAAAGAATAGTAATTAACAATGCGATTAGAAAATGAACAGTTCTAAAGTTTTCTAAGAAATACTAATGGAATTTTTTGTTAGTAATTCTTTATAATTGACATGATAAATAATATTCATAGTTCACCAATAAATTTACTGATGGATTTTACTAATTGAAGAAATCTCGTCAATAATTCTACCGGTAAAAAAATGACACATCATCGTTTTTTTAGTTTTTTTTTTAATTTTTTTCCATTATAATTCTCTTTATAAATACTGAGAGAATATTTTTGTTGGTAAAATCTGTTTGCAATTTACCAATAAAAATATTTTTTTTATATTTTCATTTGTATTTATCGATTTTCTGGTAGGAAAATTTGTTTTAAAAACTATAATAATCTATTTGAAGCATTATAAAATTAAAAAAATAATAATTAAAAAAATTAGTTACTATTTTAAAATAAGATGAACAGAGTAATTTAAAAAATAATAGAGAGTATCAATTAAAATTTAAATAAAAACAATAAAAGAGACCAAACTCACACATACAGCTAAGAATAAAAAAGTCTAGGTAAGCCTTGACCTAGAAGCCAATGCTTGCACACATAGCTAATTTGCCTTGTTTATCGAAGGAGTGGAAAGCACATCTTACGCTTTAGTTTTTTTTAATCAATGACCTCTCATATTTTGCATCAATTTTCGATCATTAAAAATCAAGATCCGGGTTCTTGAATATCAGAAACTCTCTCTCTCGCTTTCTTATTTTTTTTTCCACGTTTAAACACCTAAAAAACACTCTAAAATCTTAACAAACCCGTTCCAAATCTTAAAAAAAACCCTCTAATTTATATAAAAAAGGAAAATTAAACAAATTGAAAAGGGTTTAAGGATCCTCATTAATTTTTTTCAACATGATTAAAGGATAACACCACTATAATTAAACTCCCATCAAATATACAAATTTATCAATAAATATCTTGGTGGTTGTTATGTTACAATCAAAGTGCTTTTTTATCTTTAAATTTTCTTGACAACTTTCTCTCTTTTTTATCAATATTCAAAGATTGAAGTATTAAAAAAAAATATAAAGTTTTAAAATAACAAGGATCGAATAAATAAATAGGTTAACTGAAATTTTAGATGGAATATTGAAGTTTTTGGTGAGAATATCCAAATAGGATATATTTTGTTTGTTTTTGTTAGATTTGATTTTCCATCTTTTAGTTTTTCTCTCTTTAGCTACCCATGACATCAAATTTTGCAAAGTCGATCTTTATTTATCGATAAAATATTCATCGGTAATTTGTAGATGTAGGATAATACAAATGGTAAGGATTCTCAAGATATACAATCATGCTAATGTTACTTACTTGAGAGTGATAAATTGTAAATAAAAAAGAAATCTTCACAACCAAAACCGAAAAAGAGACTGCATTATTCATATAAACAATATAGTCAATAACTGAACTAGGCTAGGAAGAACATTTCCGAACACGTTGTTTCTTCTCCCCAGTTCTTTGACCTTACTTTGACCTTTTGCCATTAAAAAACATGAGCTTGCAACAGCGCATGTATATATATATTATAATGGGCTGGGCCACTGCAGGTATCCTCAATCAACATCAACATACATGAAACGAGACTAAGCCCAAACGAGTCACAAAGATTAGCCCATAAAAGGGCCTTTTGCTCTCTTGACCGATTGCATCCATCCTGGAATGGCGATCCTGATACGGCACTGCCTAGCAAAGGTCGTCGATGTTCCACCAACTGACTGAAATGTCGGAATGAACGGCCAGGATCATTCTCGTCCACTCAACAGAACAGACAGATGCCCGTAAACAACAAAGTTAGGTTGAAGTTGACACGGTATATATAAGGGCAGGAAGGCAAGGGGGTAGATAAGGGTTCGCAACTGCTTCGGTAGCCAGCCGCCTTGAAGTTGATGTTGGATGGAGGAAATGGAGAGGGAGTCGGGTTTTCGGAAGGTTACTGGATGGGTGAGTGGGGAAGATAACTAAGCTGCTGTGTTTGTTATTTTCCCAACTCCACCCATCCCATAGGTTTCCGATCATTCCTCCCTCTCCTCATCACCTCACCTCTGCTCATCCCTCGTTACAAGTATGTTTGGCTTGCTTACTTCACCTGCTTCTACCAGATCTATCTCTCTATTTGCATCTGAGTTTATCATAGATGAATCTTGTGTGTAGGGTTCTGGATCTAGTTTTTCACATCTGCTTGTAAGTAGTTCTGAATCTCCCTGACTGCTTTTCATCAACTATCTAACTCTTTTAAGTGATTTCCATCCAAATGAAATCTGTCTTCAGAGTGCTGCATGTTCTTGTTCATGAAACATTACACAGACAGTGAGTTTAGTTCTGAATTTCAGAAGAAAAATTATAGATCCAACTGCTAATACAGACCGAGTTGAGTCCTTTGAACTCATACATCATAATACAATTGAATCAAAGGAAAATCATTAGGGAAACCTGCTGCTACCCGCTCCCTCTTTCTTTTAAGAGGATCCACATGCTGAAACCTCGTCCAAACTTCCTTATCTATGCACCAAGAGGCTGCTTGAAGCCCAACGAAGCTTTTAAATGGCTATTGTAACAAAAAAAGTACTAAATTCATGATATGGTGTTCAGGACTAAACATAGAAGAGGTTGATGCTTTCTACTAGCTAGCATAGGTTGATAGAAAATGATTGCAAAAACAGATTTGTTCTGACAAATCTTAACCCCAGGATTAAACAACTCTCTGGAAAGAAAAACTTTGACCCGCTGCGTTATTGTAATATTTGCAGAACTGCAATAACATTCCTTGACAGTTCGAATTTCCGAAATCTTGTTAAGCAATGTCACCAAGAATCTTTGTAGGGACACAAACCATTAGTAAACCGGTGATACCAATAATCGCTCTACCAATCTCATCTGTCATGGGATTTGATCTATCACTGGCTGTAAACACAGGTTGAGTCCTTAACATCAACCCAACTACATCCAGGTTACTTTTTAACCCCTTTGAACACCACCTATCTTCGAACTTGTCATATCAGCTTTGATCTTAACATTCCACTACGTGCATGCATGTTAGAAAGTATAACATGGTTATCAAAAGTAATGTCAATACAATAGATAGCTGACCTAGAATGATGTTCAATCATATTGCTTCAGTATCTCCATGTTTATTCATGTTCTTGTCCCATCTCAAAGCCTCCCTGCAACTTAATTCTCTGCGTATATCGACATGATATGCACATGCCCCTAGCAAAGCTCTCAATACAGTTAAATCGGGGCTTGATTCAGCAAGCCGCTTAGCTTAATCCCGCCCGACCAAGTAGATCAACCATGCAAGCATGGGATTTGTAATGAAATCTGAAGGAGTTGCTAAATTTGCATGGGATTCAGGAGATACGTAGGCATTCAAAATATTGCACAAAAGTAGTACAATTCATAATATTGCACAAAAGTATTACAGGTAACCTATACTATGTTTTCAGGAATTAAGACAGGATTTTTACATCTTTTCATAGCTGAAGAACCTTGCTCCGCTGGATCTGACGGGTCAACCCAATTCTGAGCTTGCACGAGCTAGGTCTGTTGTTGAAACGTGTGTATATATATACATGTATATTTTTGGAACAACATTTTTAATATTGAATTGTCTCGGCCTGCCCACAACCCTGAGTTTTAGAGCAAGTCACGCGTCTATTTTATGTTGTCTTGTTTGATGAGGTTGGGATGATTGCCTTCTGCAACAAATTACTGTGATATTTCAGGTTTGCCAACAGCAGCCCGTCTTGATCTAGCTTGCTAATTGAAGACTGTTTTTATGTAGTGGGGTGAAAATCCGAATTAGATGCGTCTCCTATTCGATTATTATCTACACAAAAACATCTCTCCCTTTCTCAATGTAAATTTAAGCCTTGCATTGATCCTCATCATACATGCACCATCCTGCATCACAAGCGGGCCCGTACGAAATGGTCCCATCATGAGCATGAAGACGACGAATAAGGGTTAAAGGTAGATGATTGACGAAGGTAGCAAGCCCGTTGTTGCTAGCGGGGAGATAGATGCCTCCTTTCAAGACAGCCACCGGTTTCAAGCAGCCAATTGTATGTGATTTAAAATAAGATCACCAAGGGACAAGATTGTAGATTAGATGCTTAATCACTCCATTGCTTGTTGTGGTGTGGTTGCCAGGGGGCCAATTATAATCCTCTTAATAAAGAAAAGAAAATCGATAAAACAAAGCGCGTAGGAGATGATCTTCTTAATAAAGCAAGAGCCTTTAAAGCATTGGGGATTGGATTCATGGCGACATAAATTTAGAATATTAATGTTTTTAAATAATATTGGCACATGGTTGTCCTCCTCACCTCCCCCTTCTTTTCTGTCCCTAAAAGTATCTTTAAAGTCTGGACCTGGGAGCCAGCTGTCCAGCATTCGTTGATGATATATCTTCACGGACCACCACTCCTTTTTAATTTTATTTTTTATTCGTACGCGGTCTTAGATAATCTTATTTACAAGTCTAGATTTGATGTCTTTAACCCTGTAGTTGCGTGTCGGGGGGGGTTCTTTCCCTCTTAAATAACGACCTGCTGCTTGTTCTTAGCTAGATTGGTACTAATCGGTGATTTCGATTTTTTCAGCAATAAGGTATGATAGCGGGGCCTTTTTTTTAATAAACTAAATGGCCATTTTGAGAATCGCAAAAGATTTTCTTTGTGATTTCATTATTTTTCAAGATAAGAGGAGTGATGATGTATTTATACTATGTTGTCATTTTCTTTGTAAGAGACAAGACGATGCATGAGGTTAAATAGATGTCGGTTGATGTATGACAGCACCACAGAGGCAAGGGGGTGAATTAATTTGGGATTGTCGACATGAAACTCCTTGCAGAAGCAAATTTGATAATGTTGGCCTGCAATGGACAAATATAGATTTTGGATTTTGAGGGCGGGATAGGATTATTTTTTAATTTATTTCTTCTTAGAAATACATTAAAAAATATCCTTTTTTTTTTTGTTAAAATTTATAATTGACATGAGTACATTAAAATTTAAGATAATTTCTTCTTAAAATTAAAAAAATTAAAATTCAGTACCAAACAAAAAATAATAAGTCGTCTGGGGTGACCAAGATAGCCGTCACCCGCGGGCCTGCGACTGCTCTATGTAGGTTACGTCTGTTTTGATGTCAACGACATGTCAACCTGGGAGCGGCCCTCTGAATTTACTTTCTTAGATAAAATAAAAAATAAAATTAAAAGAATAAGAGATAAATCAATCCCAAAATATCGGTGAAGCAAAAAACAAGATATCATAGTCATGTTACAAATGTTGGGTTATGCATGTTTGGCTACCATTATATGTGTCTATATATATATATATATAAACAGATATAAAGAAAACTTCTTCTTCAAAGAACAAGAGATAAATATTCAAATATAAAATAAATCTGTTTTTTATTTTTACCTTTATCTATTTTCTTTGCCTCGACGTACATGAAAAAATAAAATAAAATAAAAAAAGTCTTAGAAAAAGTGGATGTCTAGACGTAAGGAGTACGTGTGTAGACGTGGGAGTTAATATTGTGGGGGAGGTGGCTTTGGTTCTATTATATAAGCAGGAGCAACAGCCCTCGAGAGAATTACTACACGAACAGAGAAGGAAGCAGCTGATCCTGAAGAGCAAGTATCTAGCCTGTTAAAGAGAATTAATTAGCAGTTAATCAGTCAATCGATCAAGAAGATGTCAAGTACTAACTTCATAGACATCTTGCTGGCCATCATCTTGCCTCCTCTCGGTGTCTTCCTCAAGTTTGGTTGCGGGGTAAGCAATTAGCAGAACTGATCATTTGTTTCTCGATCGATCGATTCCTAGCTAGCGTCTGTGTATCTCAATCCTTTGTTTTTGTAAATATGTCAGGCGGAGTTTTGGATCTGCTTGCTGCTTACCATTTTAGGTTACATCCCTGGAATCATTTATGCCGTCTATATCATTACCAAGTGATCGATATCACCCTCTTCTTCATGATCTCTTGTTGTAAGCTCTCTCATCCGCCTCCTTTATTAGTTCCTCTCCCTTTTATTTCCACTCTCTATATAAGTTTGAAACTGTGTTCTTGAAATTAAGTAAAAAAAACACTGATACTGCGCTGTGAAAGTTGCTCTCTCTTTTATGAGGAAATTAAACATGTATTAACTTAGAAGACGATTTGTATATATAATATTTAATCCATGGGGTCCCTTCATTTTTTAACATATTTGTTGTCTTTTAAAGAACAGCAGGTGGAGAGACACAGTACCGTTTGATCCAATAAAAGAGTTCCTGGCCGTCTGATTCAATGAAGAGCTCCTGATTTTGTGTGGAGGCGGATGATTATATACACTCCCTTTTCATAATTGTTTTTCTTTTTAATGTATTAATTGATATTTTGTAATTAAATGAGGTTAGCAGCCCTTAATATTGCTGAGTGCCTTATCATGCATGCATGGCCTGGTTAATTAGCAAGTCTCTTTCGTTCTTAATCTCTCTGTCTTTGCTGTGGACATCCGAATTTGTTTTAATTAGTTAATGGGATTGTCAATCTTTGACTATTTGGTGACCGTTCCTCTGATTTTCCTTCAATTAGTGCTGGTTTACACAGACACACACATATATGAACCAGCTCTTAATTAATCATTAAGATATGATTACGTTCATGGGTGTTAAAATTAACTAATAGAAGGAAAATTAAAATCATATTTTATCCTAAACAATTATAAAACATGGATTAGGAGGAAAAATTAACTATAATTTATATGTTGTCTCAGAAACTTGTATTCCCAAACCTAATTAACCATAAATACAGCCTCCTATCCGATAAGAACGCGCGTAGTGGCAGGGGGCTAGAAAAAAAAAAAAAAGAACGCGCGTAGTGGCAGCTGGCTAGAACAAAACAGAAAGGACAAAACAAGCAAGGAAGATGCATCATCTTGAATCTCATCCCAAGAAACATCCCCTGCAGCAGCTCGTGCTACTTGCAAGAAGACGATTAATTGCTCGCTGTTGACAGAGACCAATTAATTTGTCCTAGCCATGAAGCTATCCCCTCCCAAGCCAGCTCAGGCAGCCCCACCACAACCCAACTACGGTTACATTTAGCCATGATCGATGATGAGCTCATCACAGAAGTGTTTCTCATCTAGAAGGTCGAGGCTCTTGCCATTTGTCAGTTCAACCAGGGATGAATAAGGCGGTCAAAACTCGAGGCGGAAATTAACCTGGTTGAATCAGGAATGGGAAATCTTATAACGTTATTCTTTTGTTTTTTGGTCCCTTGTGAACGTTGAATATCCAAGAAGCGCACACTAGCTACTGAGAAATTAACAGGATGTCGGTCTTCCCGGCTTCGCTATCATTGAATAGTACTGAGATAGCTAGACACATGACGCACGGAAACCCTCAAGTTAATCCATCTCTTGATTTTACACCGACACCAGCAAAATATTGCCTTACGATATATATAGTCTCCGAATTCTTCTTACAAGAAATCTTTAGCCAGCCTTGTTACAAAAGATCGTTGCTTTTTGCCAGGTGTTTTGTAGATCAAATATTAGAATAAACGATACACAAACAAACAGACAACTACTCTCTAGATTTTCTATTTCATCCTCTCTTCATCTTATATTAAAACATTACTCAATATCTCAATTTTAATATGCAAATCACATATATATATATATATATATATATATATATATATATATATATATATATATATATATATATATATATATATATAATGTTTGACCAACTAATCCTAAGAGTTTGATTTTTGAACTTTAAACTGCGCGCCTACAGTTATTCATAACATTTTAAATATTAAAAAGCTAATGTTTTATAACTTAAACTGATACAAGTATTTTCCCTTCTTATAAGAAATCCTGGTTTCAATTTTCTTAACAAAATAAAATAAAATAAAGACGCATTAAAGAACAGAACGTTAACGCGGGACAACCTTGCCGACAGGAAGCCATGAAAAGTAATTAGGAATATAATTCATTTATCAATTCGTATTCAAGATTCATAGGGCGCC